GGCGTCTGACCCCTCGGAGTGGTTATTTGGGGCCTGAGGGGATGGGGTAGGCAGTTGGGGACTGTGTGGATGTGGCCCTGGGAGCATTTGGGAGGTTTGATGGAGCTGGAGTATGGGGGCAGCTGGTAGAGCCTAGGAGCCGCTGGGTGGCTGTGGTACTGAGGGGTTACTTGAGGGAGCTGTTTGTCAGGGGGACCTGAGGGCACCGAAGGCTGTTTGGAGGTGCTGGGGGTATTCAGAGAGCATTGGGAAGGGAGTCATGAGGTCACTTGGGGGGGAATTGAGGGGGAGGTGGGCACTGTTCATGAGGCTTCCCAGGGCTGCTTGTAAGGGAGATTGTTAGCAAGGGGAGAGGCCTGGGGTGTTTGGGGGATACTGGGGTGTTTGCAAGGGCCTGGGAATACTTGGGGGAGGTTTTATCTTATCTTGAAAGGAGGGAGATGGGTTTTAGGGGATGTTCTGGGTGGTGGGGCAGTTTGGGTGGAGACGAATGAGGTCAGGGTTGAGATAGGTAATGGAGTAGCCTGAGACTGCTGAGGCAGATGGGGCAAAGCCGGTGAGTATGGGGGAAACTCGAAGGCATGAGGCGAGAGGAGAGCAGGGCTGGAGGCACTGCGAGCACAGGAAGCTCGTGGAGGGCAGAGGTGTGAATAACTGTGGCAGGACTCTGTGTTCCTGCCCTGGGAGGTGAGGCCAACCACCGTGACCCCTGCCTGTGGGCGTCGAGCACAAATAAGCCCTCGCTATGAATCTCAGTTTACTCCTGGCTCACCTGTGACACATGCCATTCCTGTCACCCTTCCGCTGCTCTCGGCTTTTGCAAGAGCAGCGTGACTGTACGGGGAGGAAATGTTCAGAGTTTGACGGATGTGTGTGTGTGGTGGGAGCGGAGGTCAACAGGTGACCTGAGATTTTGGGAAACGCTGTGTAGGAGAAGCACTGCATCTCACCAAACGCTTCTGTTGCAGGAGTGCCGGATCGCACATCCCATTGTTAAATGCACCTACTGCAGGACTGAATTCCAGCAGGAAAGGTAAATACCCGCTGAGCTGGGGACACTGATGGGTTTTCTTAGTACACACACACCCAGGGAGCCCTGACGTTTCCACACCTTTGATGACTGAGCCCTGACCTGTCAGTTGTTGCTGTGGAAGACTTACAGGACCTTTGGCCTTCCTCAAAGGTCTGCTGGGCGAGTCGCTCTGCCTCTGCAGTGTCCTTAGATTTGCACCTTTTGCTTGGCTTTTGTTTTTGGTCAGTGCTCAGATGCATTTTCCAGTGAAGGATCTGGGTGCATCTTCCCACAAGTTTCCCTCTTCCTGATTTCTTGTATCCCCAAATTATTTCCTAATGTGTTTCTTTTAGTTGTGCCTTTGCCTTTTTTGCATGTTTGGAAGTTACGTAGCTTACAGAGGAAGGATTGGTAAAGCCGGTAGCTGGGCATTGTGTAGGGTGTTCTTTCCTGTGTTTGTTGGACAAACACAACTCTGTCCTGACCTGCCTTAACCTTGTCATCCAGAGCAGACTGGGGCTGTCACCAGTGCTGTATCACGCCTGCTGCCAATTAGCCGGTGATCAGACTCCTCTGTTTGTGAGGACAAGGAACTGGTGTCATCTGGGGATGCCTTAATTAAAAGTTACCTCCTAGTCATACCACTTTTTGGCAAATTATCCTCAACCAGATGGAGATAGGAAACGCACTATGATATCTGAATCCCTAGTGAAGATGAATACCGTCTTGCCACTAGAGATGGAGCTAGGGGAGGGGGGTCATAACCACAGAGGTTTTATTTTCTTTGGAGAAGTGTTAACAGAATGATCTGCCTTTCTTTTTAACAGCAAAACCAACACGATATGCAAGAAGTGTGCTCAGAATGTGAAGCTCTATGGCACAGTAAGTGAGTGGGGCTCGTTCTCAGCAGCTTCTCCTTTCATCTTTCTTGTCTTTATCCCGCTGAATCCTCGAGCAGTTTATGGGCTGGCTCTGTTATAATAGCATGACTGATCAATAATACGCGGGTCCCTCGAGCATGAAGCTTTTACCTTTTCTGTTAGTACTGAAAAAAGCAGCTCTGCATCATTTTAGGCCAGGAAATGAACTATTCAATATCCAATCGAAACAAGAGTGTGCTTACACAAACTGAGATTGCTGCGGGAAGCAGTGATAAATCTCTTTCCTGCTTGTCTGAAATCTGAAAAAGAGATTTTGATTGTTTCTGTTTGGGTGTTACACATTTTCTAAAGGTTTCATAGCACTTGATAAACGGTCTGGGTGCCGTGGCTAAATACACTTGACTAGAGACCGGGGGTCCGAATGTCATTATGTCTCCTGGATCAGTGTTATGATTAGCTTGGAAAGGGGAAGTCAAAGTTTGGAAGTGATGGGGAGAAGGACAGTGTATTAATGTAATTAGAAGGCACTGCTGTATTGGTTGTTCTTGTTTCTTAAAGCCAAAGCCCTGCCAGTACTGCAACATTATAGCAGCATTTATTGGAAACAAGTGTCAGCGTTGCACAAACTCTGAAAAGAAGTATGGACCTCCGCACTCCTGTGAGCAGTGCAAGCAGCAGTGTGCGTTTGACCGGAAGGATGATAGGAAAAAGGTCAGTATCTCTGCAAAAAGACCCTGAAAAGGTAAAATGGCTGGTGACAGTGATTGTCTGTCCATCTCCTTCACATATTCTCTAGCATTTCCAAAGGAGGTGTCTCTTGGTTATAAAGTATTTTTCTGGAGCTGAGCTTTGCTGTGCAAGCTGTGTTTTGGAGCTGTTTAATCCCTGAGCTCCTCTGCTGCTTTGCCAGATCTATTGAGAAATCTCCCTTTTTTGTGTCCTGAGGGTGGGTGGGCTGGCAAAGGAGAAGGAGCCTCTGAGTGAAATGTGAGGTGCCTGTTCGGGGAGAGGGATGGGGAATGGTGTTTGTGCTGTAGCCTGAGGAGCTGGAAGCGTCATAGCTGCACCAGGAAACCCGTCTCATGGCTTCCGCACACCCTTTGCTTAACCAGCGTGAGTGCTCCTCAGCAGTGTGTGCTTCTGAGGCTGCTTCCTGCACGCTATGGACACCTCTTTTTGGGTTTGGGTGCTGTGCTGACCATCCCTGTCCTCCTGCTGATCCTCCTGGAGCAGAGACCCCTGCTGTTTTGGTCTCCAGTGAGTGCCCTGTCACCTACCATTCCTTGGCTTTGACAGAAATCCCAGTAGAGTTACCCCGTGCTGGTGAGCGGGTGCTATCAGACAGTCTAAGCAAAGCTTGGCTGTAATTATAATAGATGAGCTGCTATTAATGAGTTCTGTCTGCATTGCACCAGCCATCCCAGATGTACTTCTCACCTTTTCCAGGCGCTCAAGGGATCCTTTTTGAGTCGCTGCTTGTTCAGAGGTGAACTTAAGCCTCAAGGTGCTTCTTGTCTTGTGTGTGCTTGATTCTGTGGGCAGGAAACAAGACCAAAACTTCTCCCTCTCTTTTCCCATCCTTCCAGGTGGATGGAAAGCTGCTATGCTGGTTATGCACGCTGTCCTACAAACGGGTCCTACAGAAGACCAAAGAGCAGTGCAAACACCTGAGCAGCTCCTCCCGAGCCAGCCTGCAAGAGAAGGAGCAGTACAGTCGGCTCAGCAGTGGCAGCCACTATAACAGGTAACGTGCAGGAGCTTCTCTGCTGTGCAGGGTGAGCAAACACGTGCCTGGCTGCTCCGTGCTCCTTGGGTGCGCTTCCTGAAGTCACTGGGAGCAGCACCTGGGGTCTCGGCACCTTGGTGGTTGGTTTTGGCAGTTGTCAGTTGTTCAGGAGGATCTGGCTAAGTCAGGCTTTGCTGGAGTGCAAACCCCGCTGTTCTGGTGTAGACCTGTATTCTGACAGCACTTCTTAGCGATTCAACTTGCTGAACTTGTACGCAATTAAAGCTAAATTGCACTTGTAAAATTTAATGATTGAAATGTAGATTTTAAGCGTGAGCTGTTCACCTACCTACTGATCTGACTGACATGTTGTTTTCTGTTTATTTTTAGTCTCCAGCTACTCTTCAAGGAATGAATTTTTTATCATTCTTTCTTGTGCTAGGAAATCTTGTTTTGATAGGTTCAGAGTAGGTGGGAATATTTATCTACTGCTCTGTCTTAGACTGCAAGTCATTCAGGTTCTGACATACGATTTCCTCGTTTTTCTAGCCAGAAAACCTTATCAACCTCTTCTATTCAGAATGAAATCCCAAAGAAGAAAGCCAAGTTTGATGCCATATCTGCCAATGGTGACAGGTGAGCCTGTTACATGGGGAAATTGGGGGTGGGTGGTCTTGGTTGATAAGTTTATATAAGAGAGTTCTGTGTGAAGAGCAGGAAACTATTCTGCTAGAGCAGGGATCTCAGGCTTTGGGACCTCGAGGGGCTGCATTAGCAGCTTTCCAGAGCCCTGCAGGTCAGCGTTACTTGGTATTTAGACATAAGTTTGAAGAGGAAAGGAAAACGTAGTGTCTGTACCTTCTAGAATAGAAACAGCTTATGGCTGAGCTCCCCACCAGTTAGAAAAACTGCAGCCAGCCCAGCTTTGTCCTCTCTCTGCAGTTACAGGGAGAGGGGGGCTGTTGGCTACGCTGTAGAGTTGAGGTGTGCAGGTTTTGTGCTTCTGGGGCTATCAGACTGATCTGCAGGGAGATGGCCTCGGAGGACAGGATCCAGACCTGCTTGAGAGCATCCGATCCAATTCTGCTGTCACAGTTTGTGCTGGATTATGTTGACGCCAGCTGCGTGCACAGCAGAATGGGAGTCACTAGCAGAAACAGGAGGTTGAGGTGGATTTTTTAATTTTTTACGGTCTTGTTCATGCATATTTTCATTCCTGCCTTTCCTCTCTGATTCTCAGCGTTCCTTCCTCTCCCGAGATGCTTTGTCCCCCTACCCAGAGTGCCCCGTCCACGTTGGCGCAGTGGGCTGCTTCCCAACAGAGTCTCGGTGCCCACCATTGTCCTGTTTCTCAAGGCACTGACATCCTGAAGTGAGATCACCTCTTGTTTTCTCCCCCGTTGCCCTCCCTCCCTGGGAACTGCCTCTTACATGGAAACTGTCCCTCTCGATGGATCTCTTTCCAAACAGCAGTGAATTGGGAGCACAGACCAGAGCGTAGGCTCGTTAGTGCCAAAGGGTCTGTTAAAGCCACTGGTAATTAATCAGCTGCTATCTGCCTTCAATGTCTTTTTTTTGAGATCACAGATCGCATCTCTCCTGTGGATACTATTGATGCTTTGTCAATGTTTGTGAAATGCTACAGTGGGAAGTAGAACTGAAATCATTTTGTAAGGCAGCCATTCCCACAGAGTGGTCTAAAAGACCATTTATCATCCTGTTTTCAGTTGGAAGTTGGAAAAATGTAAGGATTAACTGTGGCTTGGGAGCTGCAGCTGAGCATGGAGGGGTCAGAGAATTCATCTGACTGGAGGAGACTGGAGCCAGGTCCCTGGTGCAGCTCAGCTTTCCCTCTGGAGCCCTGTTAAGGCTCCTGCTCACCTTTTGACGCTGCTCTGCAGGCTCTAGGACAGCACCAAGTATTTTTATTTGCTCACTAAAGCCTGGGCTGACACTTAACAACTCCTTGTAATACCCCTGCTGACTTGAAAATATCCAGGAAGGAAAAGGTCCCACGCTCTGGCATCAGTGGCTCAGCCATTCGTTTTAGAAACAGGAGCATGGTTTTGGGGAGTCAAATACCTTCATTTCTGTTTGCTCTCGTGTCAGATGTTGTTGCTCTGGCTCCTGCCAAGGCTGTGGTCCTTGCCACTGACTTTTTTTATAATGAATCCCTGTACCAAACCGTGTGTAATTTTAGCAACCACTGAAGAGCTCCAGCAACGTGCTGTGGAAGAGGCAAGCTGCAGCTGCCTTAAATAGACACATGGCTGTGTTTCTTGAGTGGAATAATAATAACGGTGGTTCATTAAGTGTGGTTTTGGAGTTACTGGGGGTTTTTTTTGTGAGGATGAACCCCCAAAAATGCCTCACTGCTGGGATCAGCCACAGCTTTCTGTGCAGTGTGTCTGTAGGGTAGCGAAGCCGAGGATGCTGAGCAGCAAAGTTTATTTAGTAAAAATATGTAAATTTGTATAGAGAAGTCCTGATGTACGCTTACATTGCTGGGACTTGGGCTGAGCTGCACCTGCTTGTGGTGGTGGTGGAGAGAGCATAAGTTCTGATGCTGGTTCTCGTTGGTCTGGAGGGTTTTTTTGCCCATGGGGGATATTTTAGTCTGAGGTGAAGCTTGGATGCTGGTACAGCCTGGTCTGTGTCTCTTTATGCAGGCATAAAGACTTGAATAGCAAAATCTTCAAGCTTGGCATTTGTTTTGCCTCATTTCAGCCATTTAACAGGTGTGGAGTTTAAGGCAGTCATTTTGGGCTCTTTTCCACTCAACAGAGGCAAGCAGGTGTCTTTGGAAAAGCTCCATTTTCCCCTCAGTCTCCATTGAAAGCAATGGGAGCTCATCAATTCACGTTAATTAGAGGCATGCATTTCAGACTGTTCAAACATGGTGAGCATATGTCCCCCTGACCTATCCCAAGGGCTGGGATCCTGGGTATGGAGTTTATTTGTACAGGAAATGGCTCTTTTTTTTGTTGGTCGGTTGGCTGTTTTAATTCATCTGTTTGTTAAAGGAACAGAGTGACTTGGTTTTGGCAGTTTTCCTTTGAATTTTGAAGTCTCAGACCACTTCCTTAATGCGGGGTTAAAGACAGAGAAACCTCTCTTTAAAAAGAATAAGAAAAAAGATGGGGAAAATGTAAGTGCTACTTCTTTAATTAGTGTGTTGACACATTTGAGGGTGCATTTTGCAGCAGCTGGACAGGAAAATACGTGAACACAGGCAGGTACTTAACAGGAGGAGGTGTCTGGGCACTCCAGGCCCACTGGAGCTTGGTGCAGTGGTGCAGACCCCGGGGCAGGAGGAGCCCCTCGCAGCCCTGGGGTTGGTCCCAGGCTCTGTGCAGGGCTGGTGGCCCTCCTGTCCCTTCTCCCCGCTGGGTGGCAGGGCCGGCTCTCACCTCCCCTGCTCCACAGTGTGCTCGCTGCCAAGGAGGGAATTTTTCCTGCCAGAGCCGCTGAGGGAAATGCGAGCATCTCCCAGCACTTTTTATCACCCCAGGATACAGCAGGAGGAAAGCTTGCCTGGACAAAGAAGTGGTGTAAGCAACAGTTTGGTTTTAGCCAGAGGGAATCAGTGAGAAAGTCTCTTTTTTTCTTCTGTGGAGGCTGCTTTTTTTTTTTTTCCCTCTCCTCCCCAGCATATTTGCACTGAGTGGGAAATGAAAGCTGCTGTTAGTAACGTGCTTGCACACAGAAAGGTGCTGGAGCACCCACCATCATCCTGCACAGCCTCCGCTCGGGGAAAACTGTACTGGGGAACAGTTTGAAGAGGGAGATGTTCACTGATAGTGTGTGTATGAACCTCACCTGCGCTCGAGAGCTGTGTGACAATCCAGTGCACCCAGAGACCTGCCACATCCCATGGTGTGGGCTCTGCTGTCAGCACTGTGGGTCCTGCAGACCTTCAGCTCCCAGTTTTCCCTGGCCAAGCTTCCTCTCCCAGTGCTGCAGGGCTGTCCCGTGACTTTTGGATCTGGGAAGCTGCTCTTGCTGAGTTTCCCTCTCTAAATCTCCAGCACAGTGGTGGAAAGAGCCTTTTCCTCTGCCATATCCCTGCTAACCAGTCCAACCAGTGCAGGCTGGGCTTTTAATCAGAAAATGGATTATTTCCAGGCACTGGAGGAGACCCCTGTGTTGAGGGTCTTTAGAGCTGAATGCAGGCTTCAGGACATAACTTGACCTACTCCGGAGGCTTTACAAATATATCAGGCTTCAGGTAACCCTGACTATTTATCTTTATAGCAGCAGTGCTGTCTGATAACGGCCAGACTTGAAGTAATCTTCCAGGTGAAGCTTTGTTGTCTTATTACTGTGAGATTTTTAAACGGCAATTTCAGGTCTGTGGGGCTGGGAGTGTGCTGCCCTTTTAGCACCCAGAGATAAGAATCAGGCTTAGCATGACAGGGAGGAGGAACAGAAGGCAGGCAAAGATCAGGTGAGCTCCCTGGGCCTGTGGCTGCTGCTTATCATATCTTATGATCTGAAATATTCCTGTCGTGACTGCCCAGATCACTGGGTATCTCCTAGGGAGATTTGTGAATTACCAGTGCAGGGCAGGGGCTTGTGTCCTGTTAAGTTTCAGCTGGTTACTTAGAGTACCTGGTTTTAGAAATTCCTTAGGTTTAGAAGTACCTAAGCAGCTGTTTCTCTCTCTTCTTGGAGAGTCTTTCCTGTCCTGAAGTGGTAATGAAGCTTCTCCCTAAATTGCTGCATCATGGTGGAACCAAAATGCAAACATCCAGCGTGTTCTTTTACCCCTTTTCCCTGCTGCGCACAGCGCTGACTTTAATCCAGGTGTCTCCCTTTGCTTTGTTTGTTTAACTTGGAGGTTATTTGTTTCTCTTTCATGTTCCCTCCTTGCCAGAAAGTTTGTTTAGATTTAGTGAAAAGTTTTGCTGCGCATCCAAGGGCTGCAAGGGAGCAAAGAGAGTTCCTGAGTGGTTGCATAAAGTTTCATTTGCTCTCTGATTTCTGCCCTCAGCTCTTTGGTTTGAAAATGGGTCCTTGCTGTTTGCATGGTTGCTGCAGGCGCTGGCTGATGGTCACCTGTAGCAGTCCCATGTCCCTGCTGATCTTCAGGAACACAACTTGATATATCAAATGTAATCCCTTTTGCCTGTGTTTCCCAAATTCCACGTGGCATCCAGGGCAGGGATACAGGTAACACCTGCATCCGAGGAGTGTTTGGAGGACACGACGCGTGTCATGAAATGATTCCCGTTCTCCTTCGATGCCATCTGTGGGAGTTTCCCTGCCTCACTGAAGTGAAGGGGTTGTCGTCATGAGTCTTTCCCTCTTTTTTTTGCTGCAGTTTTTCTCCGGACCTCGCCCTGGACTCTCCTGGCACTGACCACTTCGTTATCATTGCCCAGCTGAAGGAGGAAGTGGCTACGTTAAAAAAGATGCTGCACCAGAAAGATCAGATGATTTTGGAGAAGGAGAAGAAGGTACGGCCCTTGGCTTGCTTCCCCCACAGCGTGCTGACATGTTCACACAGATCACGCTCCAGCAGAGCCTGGCTTTTTATGTTGGAGCGAGCAAGAGTTTGTGGCTGTTTCCAGGCTGCCTCCTTCCCAGAGTTAAAGAAGTTTTCTGGGCCCACCCAAGGAGATCTTATTTCTTAAAGGGTCATTTTTTGAGACCTCCAAGCTGCTCCTTGCAAAAAGACAGTCCTGGCCACTCAGTGATGTGATTCTGGTCTCTTTGTGCTCCCCCAGCACACCCCAGCGTGTTTCTGAACTCATCCAGGCTCGCACAACTTCTGCAGAGGCATTTTCTGTGGCCGGGTGCGTCTGGGGTGAAGGCTTTCATTTCTTCTTCCAGCTCACTTGCTCCTTACTGGTTTGTGTGCAGATCACGGAGCTGAAAGCCGACCTGCAGTACCAGGAGTCGCAGATGAGGGCAAAGATGAACCAAATGGAGAAGACGCACAAGGAGGTCATGGAGCAGTTACAGGTGACAGCATTTTTCTTTTAATCTGCTGAGCTGTGCTGTACCCGGGAGTGACTGAGGACACTCCTGATCACAACACCCCTGATTTTCTGCACACACAGCTCTGTTAATGCATCCCAGCCTCTGCACTGCCAGGCAAACCCCTCCCCAGCTCTGTGCCAGGCTGCAGTGCTTTGTAACCCCTATTTCTATCCTTGCTGCTCTCTGCCCAGGCTCAGACTTACTGTATTGCCTCTGAGGACTAGACGGGAACCATCACACTCATTTTACCCTTTGCCAAAATCAGGTTTGAACCTGTTTCTCCAACCTTTGTCTGCTCCCTGCACCGCGTAGCTCAAATGTGATTTATGTGACCAGTAACCAGAGAGAACAAAGCTCCAGAAACAATTGGCGGTTCCTTTAGCGCTGTGTCTGTGCAGTCCAAATAAAGAAGTCCCTGAGCTGGAGGGAACAGGGCAAGCAGGATTCTTGTCATGGCCATGGTAACACGGGGCAGACATCGGCACAAATCCGCTCGGAGGAGATGGGGTCAAAGGGGAACTGGTTACAGGGCTGAAATCAGACACAGACATGAACTTTGCACCCCTTAATTACTCCGGGGTTTATAATGATCTAAAGCCCTAGTGATGAGAAATGGGAGGAGATAAGACAAAAGGCTTAGATTCTCGCTGAGAAAACAGCCCCTCCTCCATCAGCACACACCCTGGTTAATTATCGGTGTGGAAGATGGGTTTTGGAGACTGCAGCTGCTGTCAGAAAGCTGGTGCCTGTGAGATCCCCTCACAATGCACATTCTTAGATGCTGGAAGCCTGTCTGAAGGCTGGGATGGCTGTGTGTGATGAACATGCACCCCATGAGCTGGGAGGCACTGGTGGTTTGTATTTGAGGGACTGGTGACAGCCGCAGCCTCCTGCCTCTGCTCTGTTGAGGTCTGTGTCAGCCCAGGGCTGTTTCGTAGCCTTGGGTGGCCTGCAAAAACAAGTTGGGGGTTTTACTCTGAGCAGACAATTTTCCATTAGCGCAAACCACCGCTTTTCGGTTGCCTTGGCAGCCTCGGCCGGGAGGTTAAGGGCAAACGGAGCTGCCCCCGCTCCTCGCAGTGGTTCCCCAAGGCAGGGCACGCCGGTGGCTCGGTGTGCATGGGAGCAGGGTACCCTGCTGCTGCCTTTGCTGCAGCTCAAGGAGCGTGGAAAGCTGTCGGACACTTTCCAACAGCTTAAAACTTGCTCAGTTCCGAAAAGAAAGAGGAGACATCAGAACCACAAGAAGGTTTGGCCGCAGCCACCTGGGTGGAGAGGGGTTTGAACATCAGTTACCCTGAACTCGTCCTCTCCGGGGTCCCCGTGTTTTATTTCAGCTGGTATTGACTTGGGGCGCTGGAAACTTCCTTCACTGATTGCGAAATAAAAGTTCAAATCCTCTCGGTGCATTGGAGGTGCCTTGAAGTGTTGCTGTGATTCACTTTTTGAACGTGCTCTTGGTTTTTATCATTTTGTCTTGGCTTTTCATGGGGGGAAGCAGGGGTGCCTGTATTCCTCCAGCCTGGAGGAGGCAAAAGACACTGGAGCTGAGGCTTTAATTCCTCTGTTAACTCTTTGCATATTCATTCATTCACTGGAAACCAACGCAGAAGACCTGTATTTGTCCTTGCATGGGTTTTGCACCTTACCCTACAGCTTGATTTAGGGTTCTGGGATGGGAAGAGCCCTTTCGAGGTGGTTAGAGGTGAGATGCTGGACTTGAGCTCATGCCGTGATGCCCCATAGCAACACCTTCCTCCTTTCTCATCTGCATGCAGGATGTCAGCAGCTCCTGTCCAGGCAGTTCTAGGATCCCAGGAACTAACAATGATCCGTGCCATTAAATCCCCATTTTCGCTGTGTTTCCAGGCCAAGAACAGAGAACTCCTGAAGCAAGCAGCTGCCCTATCGAAGGGCAAAAAGCCGGAGAAGTCGGGAGCAATAACCTCCCCTTAAAACCAAACCCCCAATGTGGGAGCTTTCCCCAGCATTAGCCACGGAGCCGGGGAGCCCTGCCCAATCGCTGGAAGCCAAAACCTCCGTGTTGTCCCTGTCCCGCTGCCGTGGCCTCGACGGAAACGCCCGGCATGTGTTGCCTTTCGACAGCACGCCTGAGCGTCTCTGCTTTCCATCTCTGTTGAAGGCCGCTCTGCATCCACGGTGATCCACGGGGAGAGGCCCCAGCCATCCGAAATCCCCCCCTCCCCAAAGTACTGCTTTCTGGAAGAAGGATTTTTCCTAACCGGTTCCTACCACTGCCAACCCTTTTGATTAGCAAACAGGAACCCGCTGCATTCGAGCCGCCGTGCTGGTTCCCAGCTTCTGCTGGGAGGCAACAGCCGTGGCCAGTTGTTACACAGATAAGACGGGAGCTGCGTGTGGGGGGGATTTTTTTTTTTCCCTTGAGCTTTCCGTCTTCAAAAGGAAGCCGATAAATCACCAGCCCAACAGATGTTACGGGAAGGTCGTGCCACTGCTGAGAACGGTTGATCCAGCTTTTTGAAGATGCTTCCAAAATGGGGGCTATGTATTTATCTTGGAAGGTTTTGGGGTTTTCTTTTTTCTTTTTCTGTGTCAGCTTGGCAAGCCAAACTGCCTGCTTTTGTGTTTCCTTGTTTAGTTACGATAGCTTTTGGGTAGGGAGCCAGAGTGTAGCGATACAGCCCCACACCCACCCCATATCCACTGCCCCTTGCTGCCCTGGTCACTTGGTGGCCTCTGGGGCTTTGATGTCTTCTGCAGCTTGGTGTGATCAAGCATCTCTTACCCCATTTCTTTACACGAGGTGAGTTCAAGGCTTGGATTTTCCCTCAGTCCCTGGACCGCTCTCGCCCTCTTCTCTCCCTTTCCCTGCCCCACAGCTCCCTTCCAGATGCAGAAGATTCAGGAAAGCGCTTACTCAGGCAGCGACCCAAGCCCAGGAGCATTTTTTGGGGCTCTCCAGGGACATTTCTCACTGCTGATAAAAAACCAGCAGATCCAAAGGGCTACGAAAGTTCCCTGTACCAGGGATGAGCTCAAAGACAGCACGGAGACCGCAGCCCCTTCCAGCCAAGCTGGTTGGGGTGAAGCTCCCCAGGCTCTGTCTCTTTTTTGGGGGCAGCAGGAGCGGATCAAAAGCACTTGGGGGGAAGCACGGCACCGGAGCGCTCCTCGGCAGCCCTCGGGGTGCAGAAACAGCTCAGGGTTTGGAGACCATGGGGCGGAGGAGTCAGGGCAGGAAACCGTGGTCTGGAGGTGGGTAGCGAGGAGGAGAAATGGTCCTTTTAGGTGCAGGGCTGGCTGCTCTGTCAGGGTTTTTATTCAGCTTTTAACTAGAGATTGTGATGGTTTTTTCATCTTTTTGGGGTTTTTTTTGTTACTAAAGATGACTTTATTCAAAGGCACTTTTTTTTTGGGTTGTTTTTTTTTGGATGATGTTGGCTTCCGGCGTGGAAGGAGCGCACTGCAGCATCAGACACTGCCATGTGGGGTTTTTGTGGTGGTTTTTTTTTTTAAAGAGACTTCTGATGTCCAAACAGGAAAAAAAAATACAAGTTGTTACACTTTGCCAGAGTGTGACAGCAGGAAAACACTCACCGAGTTTTATACTTCACACGTTTTTAGAACATGAGGTGTATTGGTGGGGTTTTGTTTTTTTTTAAACGAGGGCTTTGCTTTTTCACTTCCCTCAGGCTACAGAAAATAAAAGAGGGAGGAAGGCCCTGTATATACGGTTATGGGGGTTTTTTTAATTGTGATTAATTGATCATGCAGTTGAGTAGCGGATGATTTGTAGTAATAACATTGTTTCTTTGTATGTTTGTAATAATGGCGATTTTAAAAGGGATGCTTTGATTTGTACAAAACTCTTGACGACTGTAAAAGTGTTTTCAAAAACCTTCCTCTGGGTCTGATACTTTCTCTTTGCCTTCAAGCCAAAACAAATACCCCAACCAGAGCATCCTTCGCTGCCCGGACCCCGTGGATCTCCTGCTGGCGGCTGCCTGGTCCAAGCATCCATCGCTGCTCCGGGCTCTGGTGCGTACGGGTGGCGATGGCATTTTTGGCATTTTTCTATTGTTGGGTTCGCTCCTGCTTTTGTTTCTATCTTTAAATATCCAGCCTGTTGCTAGGATCCCCGTTACTTGGTTACATCCAGCTTCCCAGGACCCATCCGCCTGCATCCCACCAGATCTATTCTCTTTATTTTCTTCACAACCACATGAATGACGACCGGGCACAGAAACAAAAAAGATGAGAGGGTAATGGTTTGGGTTTTTAAGACACAGATGCAAATGAGGTGGGTAGACACCATTTGTGTCGCCAAAGTCTTCCCCTCTACCTCAGCCTGGAGGGAAAAGTAGGTTGTATTTTTATTTTAAAGCTCGTTTGCCAGCAGAGATTTGGTAGTGAATAAATGGAAGTCTCCGGAGAGTTTTTTCACTACCAGATTTCTGCTGGCAAATCACACAAATGGTGGTCACTCACCTCAGCTCTTGTCAAAGCACCAAAACAGCTTTTCCAGCTCAGAACAGCCTCGCCGTGGTGTATTTCTCAAAACCCAGAGTTGCACACAGAAAACAGCCATTTTTCTGGGAATCTCTAGTTGGGACAAATGCCCCACTTCACAGTGAAATGTGGAAAAGAAACACATATTTTTCATCCGTGTTATTCCTCCAGTCTTTGTTGTCCTTCCAATCTCTCTGTTATTTCTCCAGCCCCTTTGGTGTCTCTCGCCTGTGAAAGCAGAGGCTGTGGACGAGGGTTTTCAACCAAACATCTGGGCCAGGGCTCTCAACCTGTGTCTCTCGCCTGTGAAAGCAGAGGCTGTGGGCGAGGGTTTTCAACCAAAAATCCAGGCCAGGGCTCTCAACCCAGGCAGGGGTGCCCATGGAGAGGGTGCAAAACCAGCACGGTTGGTTCAGTGCGTCCATCACACCAAGCTTCCTGAGCTGGGCATCGCATCCCTGGCCTTGGGCAGCTCCTTGGGCTCATTTTTTGATGGAGGTGCCATGAAGATGCTCAGGGACTGGAGCAGCTCTGCTATGGGGACAGCTGAGAGAGTTGGGGTTGTTCAGCCTGGAGAGAGAAGGCTCTGGGGGAACCTTATAGCGACCTTCCAGGACCTGAAGGGGCTACAGGAAAGCTGGAGAGGGACTCTCTGCAAGGACATTTGGGGGGAAGTGTTGATCTGCTGGAAGGCA